AGTTTATCGGCAATCAAACGCTTGAACATTGCTTCATCAGCCACCTTATGGATCTTGCCCGAGAAGACTGTTGTCCACACTGATGGGAACCGTCTAGAACAACACACTTACGAAATTCCTCGGGTTTCCTTAACTATGGGAGCTTGTTGTCCGGGCTAGATTACGTGGTTGCTTCAGGGCTGAGCGGGAAGTTTACTAAAAGTCCCCCTAGAACAATTCTTATCATAGTGTTGCTGATTGTGAGGGGAGGGGGCGCCCTGCTCGACCGCCGGTCTTGCAGTTGGATGTTCTGATGCTAGATTCATGTGAACAACTGCGAAGTCCACCTATCCCACACGAGGGCGATATCATTCCAGCCACAACTTTCTGGGAACAAACTGTAGCTGAATTAAGGCACTAACTTATGCTTTACTGTCCGCGCTACGCGTGGTACTGTTGCTGCTTCTTTGACCATTTGGCAGCTACAACTGTCACGTAGGTTGCAAGCGCACCTACCGCACAGAAGTCGGTGACCACAACTGCAAGGGCATGGACCAGTCTTTCCTTGAAGGTGGGTCTGTGTCACACGGATTTAGGGTGTGAGGTGGGCCCATGACAGCAGTGCAGCAGCAGCCAAACATTTGGGGTGGTGTTGAAATTCCAGCTTTGGATCTCGGGGGCCCAAAGAGAAGAAAATGCCAATGCCTGGTGTGACCTCTGCACAACTAACTTCTACACTTGCCTGACAACGGCAGGCAACACCTTGCCTGAAGCAGGCTTACAGAAGTTGCGGCTTACAGCTTAAGATGGCTCGAGCTTCAGCGTTCAGAGGCCAGAACTGCGCATACAAAGAACGATTTTTATGTAAAAACAGGTTTGCTTGGGGGCTTGGGGCTTTGCCCTCCCCGTCCAGTATACAAAGTGGTCAAGAAGTGGCCAATCAGTTGCCACCCTTGCAGTCCTATTCCTTCCACCTGTCTTCCATTAGCCGTCTGATCTACAGTCAACACTACCGCTTTGTGTGTGGCTTCTCCCTGTGAAATATTTCTAGAAAACGTGGGTCATCACTGGGAATCTTATGTCCACTCTTGCGCTTGCGTATACTTTAGTGACCACCGCAGGTCATTTCTTTCAGCAACCTGTCTTCCTAAAATCTAACTGGAGCGCTCTGAAGGCGTGGTCTCAAACAAGGCCTGAATTGGCAAATTGAACAAACTTCTCAGCAACCAACTACACTCTCATTCAGTTATGAAGCTCAGAGAAACATTTCAATACACACTCCTGGGAAACTCCAGGTCTCCGGCTGTGTGGGGTTCCGTTGCTAGCCACCTCGGATCTTGGCCAAAGCTTTCCAGGATAAATTGAAGAACTCCTCTGCAGAAACTCTCAGTCTTTCGCAAACTTTTCCAATCATGAGGGGTCCCTTTGTGAGGGATGGTGGGTTTGTGATGGTCAGCAAGCCGCAAAACTACAAAATCGAAGTAGTCGTCTCTTTGGAGGAATGACGCAACTCGTGCTTGCACCTCGCACAGCCTACCGTTTTCGAGTCATGGCCATGCTGCCAACTGCATCCAACTTCAGTAGTGTGCCCTTTTACTCCCAATGCCAACGATAAGAGGAGCTAGAGATCTCTCTGACAAATTTCTGACCATTTCACCCGCTTGGGCTTCTAATACGCACGAACGCTCCCACTCACAGCTACAAGATATAGGCCAGACGATTCAGGGAATTTGGGGTGTGGATCCATTTCGGAGTCATCTCACTAGCACCTGAAGGCTGCAAACCTGAGCATAGAATAGAAAAACCGGGCAACGTGGCGCCGAACTGCGACAATACGCGCTGGCGTAACATGCATAACTTACCCAGTATATCAGCCTCTTTGCTTGTTCCAGGGTTTTGAGGGGTAGAAGCTATATATAAAATCTTGGAAGCTATATATAAATCTTGGAAGCTATATATAAATCTTGGAAGCTATATGTAAAATCTTGGAAGCTATTTATGAATATGTAGCGGGAAGCGGCTTGAAGCGGTTCCGGACCATTTATAACCGCTCCCTGGGCCAGCCGCCATTCGAAGCTATTTGGAGCTACTTGAAGCTATTCATGTTTTCAGGTTACATATTATAGCTGGAAGAGGCTTGAAGCGGCTCCGGACTATTTATTAGATAGCCCCTGGGTGTCACAAACAGTCTTATAAATAGCTTCTGGGATTTCATAAATCGCTTCTGGGCTCCAAATGCTCAAACAGAAACCAGCATTTAAAGAGGCTGATATACTCTGTAATGCATAACAGTCAGATAAACGGGCTCACTGTTGTTTTGGACTGCCCAGCAGGGTGTGCACCACCTTTTTCCGCTCCTGGCAGCCGTCTACGATCTCTGGAAGCAGGAGACACTCACCAAAGTTCGGAGTTCACGTGACTCAGCTTGAGCGCAGGGCCCTAAAAATGCACATTCAATTGCAAGTTCCACAAGTAGGATCCACTTGCAGAAGCTATTTGCAAGCTCCGCGAACTTTCACATGTACCTACTATGGATACTTTGCTCATTCTCATTCCTCAGCAGCGCCCCGCAGGCCAAGTGGGCAAAACCTGGGAAGAGGACCCCGAATTGCCTATTTGCAAATATTCCCTATGTAGAAGCATTCTACAACTGGAAAATCCCATTATTAGGCAAGTGGGGGGTTAATCCTGCAAAACATGCAGCAGAAATTGCACGGCTGATTGCCTGCCAGCATTTGCAACATGATCACAAGAAGTATACCAAGCAAAATCACACGATGGCAGTTCTCACTAGACAAAGTTACCAGCATCACATAAGCAAGGTGTAGCAAGCTTGCCAGCATTTTGCAGAACAAGCCAGATGGTGAGGTGGAAGATTGCAGAAAGAATGGCCATCAAAAATTCCAAGGATCCTGAGGATAAGTTGAATTTCCGTGAGAATCGTACCTTCAAGATGCAACTCTCTGCATGATGTGGGAAGCTGATGTCCTTCAGAGTTGGGCGTGAGTAGACAGTTGCGTGCTTAAGCTCACTGCGTGACCAAGGCTGCAGAGCACAGATGAACCCGGAACCTATGAATGCTTTCAAGAGTTTGCGTTGTGCTCTGCACCTGAGGAAGCTTTTGAATAAAAATGCTGACGCTAAATGAAAAAAAGTCCCGACCGACTCCCTGTTCCAGTTGTTTCTCTGTAGCCGAGACAAGTAAAGTACGTAGCCTGGGTTTCTGCTACTGTCCTAAGTGCAGCAAACGACACCTGAGGCCCATACCTGAAAAAACCATCGACTTCAGACACCCTAAAACACAGTCTCCATGTCCCAGCAAGTGCCAACCTGCTTTCCCAAAACCACTGCCTCAAATCTTCTGGCTCCTTTTTCAAGAGGCCTTCTTTGCGAGCCCCATGTCCAGGCACAGCCGCAAACAGGGCTTGATGGAAACAAGAAACTCCAATTTTCTTTCTCATGCTAGCAACACTACCATCACAAGAGTCACATCATCAGTCTTGCTATCAAACAGGCGTTTGTCATTCAACTCCTCTAGGCAAGTTTGTTTAGTAATTCTGAGACTATCAGCGTGACCAGCCATTGCATCAGCAGCAGTAGAACTGGTACGAACAGTGGCTAAACCATTTCTGTCACCACCTCTTCTACTACAGTCCTACTACAATCCTCCTCCTACTACTACTACTACTACAACTACAACAGACCAACGTCATGGTTATGAGAAGCACAAGGCCTTGTCAGTACGACCTGCACACCAAACGGACCAAACGGCAAGGGTTCTCAGGAAGATACTGAACAGAGTTCCCCAAACTGACGAATATCAACAGCTCCAATCTGTTGCAATCAAGCCCTGCAACTTGGTCTGGGATACCACAGACAGGTACCTAGCTACGTCGGATGGAGGAGATCTTGCGCAAAGTTCTTTTGCAGTTCCACTACACCTTGTGCATTTAAAGTGTGGCATGAGTTCCTCCACGAACCATGGACCAAGTATGATCGGGAAGCCACGTCTTGTGGCCAAGCCGACTTTTGTTGCAATCACAACATTGCTTTCCCTTGTTTTACTGCCCTTCAGAATAAGGATGGCCCAGCACAATTATCACAACAAAAGCATTGGCAATGCTGAGCGCTAGCCTTGAAGCATGGGCGATGCAGTTCAGCTGTCAAGCTCCTCCCTATTAATTGAGGTCGCTCTGTATGATTTCTCATGTAAGGGTGATCACGAAAAGTAGAAATTCATCCTTCAGGGTTATCGACACAAATCAGCCGGTCGTACTCGTAAAGACAATGCTGCACTTGATGATCAAAATATCACCTTCCAAGTATTGCAAAGGCAAGAGGCATGCCCCCAAGGGAAATCCCGCATAAATCATACCTGGCATTCTTATATCACGGACCGCGCTGGTACCGCTAGTTGGCAACGGGGCTCAGTTTTGTCACCCCACTCACGATGTCAAGCTGTAGTGCTTGGTTTGTGCGTGCTACCTGGCAGGGTGTCCCAAAGCATGCGTGTGGGATTTCTTTTGTCAATGGGACTTGCAAGGGATGTAATCAAGGTCTGAACCCCACGGTTCCGGCAATTGTTTCCATGTTGTGGACTAAGCTCAGGGCTTGGCGTTCCAATGCAATGCTTGATAGGAGTCTTTGACGTGCATTTGGTTCTATGCGAGTTCAGGCTACATTACCACTCCGAGCTGTGGACAACCACTGCTTCGGACTTATGACATGCTTGGACCCACAAACTGAGTGGATTCGGGGTGAGGATTGGGGTGACGGGGCACCAGCCTGCTTCAGCGGTCGTAGTAGCAACCGCGTCCCTTTGAGCAGTTTGCATTGCACCTGTTGTTTTCGGTGTGGCATCTTGCCAAATACTTTGACTGGTAGGATGCTGAACATCTGCCATGGGCATGTGGCTTTTTGTGGCCGTGTGATGAGCTGATGCAGTTGTGGATGGCTTCGCTGCTGGGCGATGGACTAGTCCAGTGGGAGAGGGCTTCGTTGTAGCCACGTGATGAACTAAGCTAGTTGTGGATGGCTTCTGTGTAGCCACGTGATAGACTGTTCCAGTGGTGGACGGCTTCTTCCTTGCCATGCCACTGGAGGACGGATTCCTTGTGGCCATATTATGATGAAGTGATCCAGTGGTAGACGGCGTCCCAGTAACGTCAGCAGTTGTGCGGACAGTGGCCTTGTCCACTCTTTTGGCCGAACCAGCCGGTAGACGTGCTGCGGATGTAACAGAGGGTAAGGCACTGGCAGTGTGCTGGTGAGCTCTTCCGCGACCTTGGATAGCTTCCTTGCCTGAAGGCTCCTCGCTTGGTGCA